CGATTTTTATACTGCATCGCCTCTCCCCGCGTTGCAGTATGGACTTACCCGTGCGTCGAGCGAGGTGGAATTTACTTACTTCTCTTTATCGCCATCCCTATCTTCTCCCTTCCTCCCGTTTCTCCTCTCCGACCTGTTATTTTATGTTTTTTTTTTTTTTTTTTTTTTTTCTGTTAGAGCTTAGCGACTCTTATGTCCGGCGTAAGGAGGCGGTCTTACTGGCCGACGACGCCACGCACGTACAGAAGAACCGATAGTAACGTACACGCGTGCGTACGCGTCCTCGCCTTTGTACAGCTTGTATACGCGTACATCTGAGCACAATCTGAGCGCGGTGGACGACTGCGGTCTGCATAATCTAGACTCCGACACGTTCTCGATTGATAATTAGTTTTAATTTCGATACCGGTAATTTTGATAACCGATCAAATTTATCGCTTTACTCTGCAATGATGCGAAACTGCAATTGACAGAAAATTCAGTTCGATTTATCCAGTAGATGAGCAAAGTGATCGCTTTGATTTATAAAAAGCTACGTAGACAGATAGAGTTACCTGTACAAACACAAAATATTGTTAACCGCAATCGCTGCCTCTTTAGCCTGCGACATGTGTCGTGCCATCATCCGAGCGAAGATCGTGTTCCACACGATATTTCGTGCCGACGATCGATCGATCCTTGTTTCGGAACAGACATCGCGTCTTTGTCGAATCGCACTTTTTGCAGTCACAGAAGTTCCTAGAACTATTAAGTTTCTTTTTTTTTTTATTTTTGCACTTTGTTACTTCTTTGTTACTTCTCGGTCTGTCTCTCTTTTTTTTTTCTTTCTCGTCTCTCTTTCGATAATGTTACGCGTATCACACGGATCGCTTTAGCAATCCTGTTTTCGATGGCGGACACTCGATTCGATGAAGACGCGGTCTGTACTCGCGAGTTCTCGGACACCTTTACATTCCAACTCTGCCTCGATTCGGATCGTTACTTTAAAGAGCCACTATTTGCATATAGATATGTATACATACATGCATCAATGCGTACCCTCTTACGCTCAGTGCGCAAGTTTAACGATAATTTATTGTTTTGTATTTTAGAGTATAGGAAAGAAACGAACTTACTAATTCATTATCGATTAAATTAAATATACGCATGGTAGCCTCCTTTTTTTATACGCAGCATGTTTCCGTGATAAAAGATATCAAGATAACTGCAACAATTTGACGTCACCAGAGCGTGCAAGCGAAGTATTTACTTTTCAAGGTGTTAGGGTTTCCGTTTAACTTTTTATTTCTTTTCAGCAAAATGCACGCTCGTTTTATATATACTCGGATCTTCTTCATTAATCCTTAAACAGATTTAACGATATGACAAACTCTTACTACGCATAAATTACGCAGTGCTGGAATGCTGTCTTCTGTCTCGTACAAATTCGACATGGCAGCAAATAGAGTAGAGAGAGTATAGACATCTTCTTTTTTCTCATAGTTTACTGGCAGTGAGATTTGTTTTCCTCGAGAAATATTCAATGCGCGAAAACAGATTTAAAAGAAAAAAACAAAGATACAAGAGCTCTCGAATCTTTGAAGAAAAGAGATGTTTGCGAGATGTATAATTATATTATAAAAATCTAGCATACGATAAGATAAACTGATCGTGGACACACAGGATTAAGATAGAACCCTACTCTCGTTGTTAGTAATTTACAGAATTGCGTATCATATGACGTGAGCTGACGGATCCGACAGATTTATAAATTAGGCGGAGCAGAGCATCTGGAAATGTTTGCTCAGCTGTTTATTTTCTAAATTTAAATGTTATTAGATATATAAAAAAGATATGTACAAAACCTGCACATATATATATAAAAAAAAATATATATATATATATACATATATATTTTTCACGAGACTGTTAATTATTATTCTATCTGTTAACTATTTCTACTTATGAAAAAATTGAATTAACAAAATAATTTGTGTGATAGTCGAATTTTAATAGGTTTATGTCAACATTATTATGTTGACTCAGTTCTTTGTTTTTGAAAAATTTCTAGATGTGTAATATTGTATAATAATGATTTATTCTTTTAATAGAGATACGTAAAATGTTCATAATATTAAATTTATACGCGCGCGCGTATTCATATATTTTTAACGGATTTATGAAGTTTTGATGATTATAATTAAATATAACGTGAAGCAATTATGTTATAACGTAAGCGTTCAGATGTAAAGTTATTTTTTATTTTAAATAAAATTATTGTGAAATAACATTTCATTATTTTGTGAGTGTTGTACAAATATTTGATACTTTCCGGACTCTCAGCTCTAATCATTGATACGATTTACTCTACTACTCTAGAATTAGTAAGGGAATGATCATACTTACTTCAATAATATAAATTATGATAATATTATTGTATATTATTAAACATATTTCTATTTTTGCGTGAATGCCTACGATTGTTAGTTGTTGGTTATTGTTATCTACTTGATGAGAGTTTTTAATGTTATGCGTACCGCGGGAAACAAACACAATATTAAATTCATAATTTTTTTTATAACACATGCTGGAGTTACTATTCATTTCAAGATGCCTGTTTTAGCTTTTTTTGAGCATTCAGGGAAGACGGGTTATATTCGTGGCGCATTATTAACGCGAACGCAGGGGTAATATCGAGTATTGTAAATCGACTTAATTTCCCGATATATGCGATTCAAGTCTTGATTTATTAAGTAAAAACGCAGATTAAAGAACGCGATTTTATTATCAGCTTATCATTTGACTGTACAATTGTTACTTCAACACGTTACTTTTATTAACAAAGCACCTGACCAAAATTACCTCTGAACAATCGCGCAACTAGCGATCACCTCTTCAAATTCCTCACAAAATATAAAAAAAAAAAATCGATGCTGTAAGTGACCATTAGGATTGGAGGGCGCGAATGAAGCTACCTGTGAATGAAGTTTCATATAAATATATAAATGTTAAAAACGGAAATATATCTATACATATATATAAATAATATATGAATATATATAAACCGAATTCTTTCACAAATACAAATGCAACAACCTCAGTAGTGATCAGGAAAAAGAAAAAGAAAAGAGTTAACAAAGATAATGAACAGATTAAATGAGCTCTATGTCCTGCGATCAGATACATAATATAAGGTAAGAGGATTTACAAGAGTGGTCTTTGGAATGCCGTGATGCGTTTGCTAATTAATAAAACGTAATTAATACACCGAGCTTCTTTCGCGAAGCACGAGTTCGAGAGAAAAAAGAAAAATACCGCTGGATCGTGTGTGTGTACCGAGTATACTTTAATGTAAACTTAAATGCTTTTGCCATACTTCGTTGAAGTATCATTGAAATGGTACGATGCTCAAATCGTGTGTAGTAACAGTCTTATTACGTATCTAGTAACAGTGTCCTAGAGTGGAAGAATCGGGTGCGCTGTGTAGATCCTTCTGTACTGTACTGTAGAACAGCAATGGATACTATATTTTATTTATTTTTGTATCCGTTGTACACACCTCCTTTATGCTTTTGTGTCTTGTACTTATACGAAACCCTGGGTACATTATCTTCTCATTGCATGTGCCGTTTCTTTTCTTTTTCTTCTCCTCACTCCTCCTTCTTTTTGTCAATTTCAAAGCGGTAAACGTCCGACATACATATTTTCAAACTTGCAAAATCCTCCTAAGCTTCTTGTATCGTCACCTGAGTATTTGAGGAAGCAAACGACAGGGCATCTTTTGGTAGCATAATTGACCTTTCTACGCACCCATTCTACATAGATCAGTACAAATAAGTTTAATAATAATGATAATAGTAATAAATAACGATAATAATGATAATAGTAATAATAATACCGATAACATTAATAATATACTGTTTACTCTTATCAAGCGCGTATAAGGTATATCCAACTTAACAAAAAAAAAAAAACACAGTAGCAGGTGTCCTACTAAAAATACCGTACCTTTAACGAGCTAAATTGTAAGCCAGTATGTTACATCTATATGTATAAAATCGTCGTACAATTTACGTATGGGCAATCTCTAATTAAGAAAGTTAATAAGTTAATTCTTGTATGACTGCCATTATCGATCAAATATTATTTCGGATAATTATCGCGATGCGACATTTCGCGGAATTGCGGTCGTTGTTTTTATTATTCCTTCTGGTCTCTCCGCAGAAAGAAGGGCACGCATTTATACGCGCGATCAGAAAGGAAAAAAAAGAAGAAACGTTCGCTAATAATTTCGAATTAGAGTTTCCCTCTCGCGTGCAAGTCGAAGAGGCGTGTCTAAATATCTAAACGAAAACTCTCCGATTGCAATGCCGGATATTGGATACTTGGTGAATACCATAATTGTATTGTCGATAAATGTTGAATGTAACATTCCACTTTACGGATAATCATTAATCATTAATCGGCGTGCATACGAAATGCCTATGAAACATCGCTTTTCCTCTTTCTTTTTTTCTTTTCGATGTAAGTCTCCGATGTAATCGCCCCATTACGTAGAATCTTCAAGGCACCGCGATCTTCGATGTCAACCTCCCGCTTGCGTTACAGTGGGACAAGGCGTGTTGTACGATACTCTGTCGCAAATTTCTTTTTTTTTTTTTTTATATTATATATAACTTATTTCACTGGCTTTAAATAATCAACGACACTATATATGGTTGTGCTCCGTAGATAGCAAAACGATATAGTTAATTAATACATGTATGTACATGAGCATATATGTATTTTATATACATATGTATTGTGTATGTATATGTATGTATATACATCCCTCGAGATCATCTCTATCTTTTTTTGAGCTGTAAGTTATATGATTTCGTTTTAGTTAAACGGGACGTTTCTTGATTTGCGCATCTATTGTAGATTTACGAAAAATCTGTCTACATACTTATACTATATTTACTACTAAACTATTAAGAAATACGCTTTTGTAAATGTAAACGTACACCTTTTTTCAAATATAACGGTACGGAACTTGTGCAAAGTATCATGTACGAAGGCGTCGAGTTCTCAGGTGAGGAGAGCGAGTGTTTTAGAGAGAATAAGAGTAATATATTCACACACCCCGAAAGCGAGATGAGGGTATATAAAATAATAATGTAGAAACACGAGAGAGAGAAAGAGAGAGAGAGAGAGAGAGAGAAAGAGAGAGATAAAAAGAGATCCCGATGTAAAGGAAGCAAGCGAGAGAGGGAGAGAAAGAGAGAGAGACTGAGAGAATAAGAGAGGGTGAGAAATTGGTTGCGGCAAGAATGTGCAAAACGAGGGGAGTGATGCTATGAGTGTACTTGTACAACAGTATGGCTAGTAACAATCCCTGAGTAAAGAAATATAATGTACGGTTTCGCGCCAAGAGATAGATCGTCTATTCTGACTTATCTAAATATAATATTTTTATGAACTGAAAAAAAAGACTGTCATATTTTTGTACCATTTACACACCCGCCCTTGTAAATCTTTACTCACATTGTGCGCTTATGACGAAGATAAATAAGTCACGATCGATTGGATTTTTTTTCCTTTGCAGTATATTTATTATTGTGTTATTCGGAGGCAGACAAGTTTTGTGCATCACACTTTCGCTTGCGAAGCAGTAAGAGTTCATATCTTTCACATCGTGGTTCGATTTATAATGGAGAAATGTACAATATGATCGCTTACACATGTATGTGTGTATGTAAGTGCAATATGTGACAAATATATAATATATACACGGCACACCTCTATTCAAAGAAAAAAAACTGAAATGTAATTAAAACATTTTCCTGAAGTATACGATCATTCGTGTTTTCGTAAAAAATGTATGTATATATAAATGCTTAGACGGATTTAAAATTATACTATAGCTTACATAAATTACATATATTACATAAGTTACATTCATTGACTATAGGGAGCAATTAAGGAACGAAGGAAGATACAAATAAAGAGAAATGCGAAAAGTAAAAGAAATAAAAAACTGTGGAAAAAATTTTTATTTACGATGGACATTAAGTCGAATATAGTTCAGAAATTGTTGTTCATTGATATGGACATTAACGTAATTGTAAACATTACATCATTGATGTAAGTCCATCACTGCAAGTTCTTTCCCCATCTTCCATTTTTGTTACTATTTTTTGATATAAATAAGATTGTCTAACACGAATGACAAAAAAAAAAAAAAAACGAATAACATTGTTACATACATCTCGCAACTGATTTTTAATACATTGCTATAAAAAATTCTGTTGCCACTTTCCTTCACGTTATACAGAGTATGTACAATTCTTTATCAAGTAATCGCTAACGGAGATTTTATTTAATATACTATTAAAGTAATTGCATTGCAAATTAAGATTGGAAGTCGAACTGATTCGTTTCAATTTTTAACTAAATTTCACAGCTTTTCAGCATGTGTGCAGTCTTGATTTTCTGTTTACCTGAAAAAGCACATATAAAAATAGAGATTAGACTCTATGACAGGATCAATATATCAATTTTCTAATCGAACATTAATAAAAAATTTCACTAAAATTAAAGTATGTCTGGTTGATATTAGTCACTGCGCCTAAAAAGTCGTCGCAGTGAGAATCTGATCGCCAATTTGATCTAACATGTTTGTGCAGCGGCGAACACAAATAAAATGTTTGCCACGAATTTACATGTAAATATATTTTATACATATTAAATATATTTTCTTCCTCTTTTTTTTTCTCGTCTTTTGTTTTATTATTACTTTATTATTATTATCTTAATTGGACATATCACATAAAGAATTTTAAATATGAAGCTAATACAAGGTAGATTGGATAAATTGATACTGGGTAAATTGATAGACAGAAATTTAAATAAGAATAAAAACATGACTCACAAAATTTGTCCAGAATTTATTGAATATCTAAGGAATTTCTTAGAATTTCTCTTCTTCAAGACCATGCTTGAAGAACATGAGTACAGGCACAGATTCGCCATCGATTTCACGGTATTCCATGAGGCCGACAATTCCGTCGATGTCCATTGAAATTCCGGTAAAAAATTGCAGCTCTTTGAAGCGCCCTAGGATATCTTTCATAACTTTGTTCATATTTGTTTTAAACACCTCTACTTGATCAGGTGCCTTTTCTTCCAACCTTGCTACTAATCTGTAAAAAAAATTGCACGTATTTAAATCTTATGCAAATAAAGAAGTCAAAAAGAATTGCTTCTTTTTTTTATTAATTTTATTCTAAAAGAACTATAAGTTATTTGAAAACTATATAAGTAATTTTAATGTAGTTTCTTATTAATTTATAAATTTTGGAAATTTTTAATACATATTTTTAAATCTTATATCTTTTGTATAAATATTATATGATGTAAGATACTTTCCAATTCAATTTATACATATATGCTAGCACGTTACATTCAATTTGTGATTCATGTTGCCATAAGATGCATAAATGCATAAATAATAAATAAAAAAATAAAGATTTACTTACTTTTTCATGTAATCTTTAAGGTATAACGTATAAGATTTCTTATCTCCAAAGGCAAATGTTTCCTGAAGGCGATGATTCAATACGACATCTACGCCAGATTCTACGGCCTCATCAGTGCCTTCATCAGCTTCCTCAGCAGAAGGATTAAAACCAGCAATTTCGACATCACCTGATTTGCGGGTAATTAACTGAAATAATTGAATCAGAAGAAATTAAGTCATTAGTCTCTACATAAAGTTCTTTATAAAAAAATGTGTGTGTGTGTGTGTGTATGTGTGTGTGTGTACCTTGCCATATACTTCATATAGCACATCATCTACCAGCTTGATTTTGTAGGTATCAGAGAACATCTCATCCCCTAAAAGATAAACAAAATACAATTTTGTAAGTTTCTTATTATATCTGTCTTATTTTATATGGACTTTAAATAGAATTCATGATGTTATAGCGATTAAACGAACATATTGTTCCTATAATCCCTTCTATCTTTAACATATGGAGAGGTTAGGAATTCAATGGTGCTTTTAAATAGCTGAATCATATGATAATCTAATGTTAATTTCTCATGCAATATCGAAACTTTGAAAAATATAATTCTATATAAGAGAAACGATAGATAGAGGAATATTTCTCAACTCGTCCAAATATCACCGAGTTTGAGATATTATGATTATTTGAAAAACTCAATTAACTCATCTCGCTAATGAAAATAAAGAGTATTTAGCTCAGGCAATTATAGGAATTGTTTTTTGTTCACTCACCGGTGAAAATATCCTTATAAATCTTCATTGTGGAAGATGGAGAAAGATTCAACTGCAGCTAAAACTAAAAGACACGGTCACCCAAATGAGCGTACCGGAAAAGAAGGAGGTTCGCCAAACGTCGAGAATCGTCTACCAACGTGAGTATGATCAAGGCTGCCAAGGTAACATTGGAGTCGACAGAAATTCACTAACTCAGTGTTGCCTCTAGAGAATTAAGAATTTTAAATCGTAAAAAATAAGAAATTTCAAAAATTTTAAAATATCGAGAAAAATAATCGGCGAGAAAATTACATTATTTAAATTTTTAAAAATTTATTATAATTTTCACGATTTTCAAGAATCACAATATCAAAAAATAAACTTTTTATTTTAAGAATTAAATTATTTGTGATTTTTAAAAAATTTGGAAAATTCTTAGAAATTTAGATACGTGTTCTTGTAAGTTTTTTGTTGATTATATTCCTTTAAGTCCCAGTCTACAATAGATGATTATTTAAGCCTTAAGCCTTAAGAAATGGACGAATCATAGTCGAAGAATAGGAGAATCATAATCGACTATGATTGGTCAATTTCTTATGGCTTAAAACTTAAATCATCTATTGTAGACCGGAACTTATGCATGTGAGACTTAAGAAATGGTTTATAAAATCCCTAGAATGTATATCTGTAATGTAAATCATTCATGAATCTATATCGGTCGATGATACGCTCACGCATGCGCAGGAAATCTTCAGCTGTTCCTCTCTCCCATCGCCTCTGCTTCCATTACCAAGTGGTGTGACTAAGTGTGAATTTCTTCGTGAACGTCGAAGACATTTGTGCGCTTGTTTTATCGAAGAATCTCGATTGCATTGGATATCAATAGTTGCTGAGAGTTTCGATTCCGGGTGAGCGTTCAGTGATTATACATTTCATCATTTATATACGAAAATCCGTCGCTGTTTTTACATGGACTAGATTTCTCCTTTTTACCAAGCACCGCCCTCCATTTTGCTAAGTTACAGTTTCTTTCGTATGACACAATCAATTATTCTACACATAAAGTTTGTAATCGTAAGCTTTGAATTATGTTTTTATATTAAACATATAAAATATTGCAATTTTAAATTTTATTTTATATTGAATATAATAGCTGTTGGACAAACAAGCTATCATTCTAGATTATTAGGTCATTCGTCGTTTCGGACAGACGCCATTGTGTGAACAGATGTTTTTTTTATAATTGTGAAATCTTATGACTAAGCACATTTCCTAGAGTGACCTATTTATTTTAATAAAATACGAAAATTAAATTGTGAAAAAAGAAAGAAACAAAATCAACACATTTATTATTGTATTGTAATAGTTTTTGTTGTTAAATTTGGAAAATTAATATTTATTATAAAACGATATTTCTTTTCTTTGTTTAGATTCATCATGCAAATCTTTGTGAAAACTCTTACTGGAAAAACAATCACTCTTGAGGTGGAAGCTTCTGACACAATAGAAAATGTAAAAGCTAAAATTCAGGACAAAGAAGGTATTCCCCCAGATCAGCAACGTCTGATCTTTGCTGGAAAGCAGTTGGAAGATGGCAGAACTCTTTCTGACTACAACATCCAGAAAGAATCAACACTCCATTTAGTACTGCGTCTTCGAGGAGGAATGCAGATCTTTGTGAAGACTCTCACAGGCAAAACCATCACTCTCGAAGTCGAAGCTTCAGACACTATAGAAAATGTAAAAGCTAAGATTCAAGACAAAGAAGGCATTCCACCCGATCAGCAGCGTTTA